TTTCACAAAAACAAGGAAGAGATTGACTTAAAACAAACACCTATGTCTTGCTGAAAAGTTTGTTTTGTCTTATTTCAAGTGAACTAAGATATTTGCACTAGAAACTAAAAAAATACTGGGTAAGATTTTGCAGTAATTTTCAGTGAAATATTGATAATATTCAAATGCAGTGCTGCAGTTTTCATAGAAAATCTCTTTAAAAGAACTAATTTATGGGATTTTTCTGACATCATGTTGTATAGAGTTCAGTTTTATTTAATCAGTTCAGTTGCTACTTTATGGAGCATCAGGCCTGAAATATTGAAGTGGTTTGGTGGCAACCAGCCCACAACTTTAACCATTTCTATTACGCAATCAATCCATGCAAACTGCTGATCTGATATAATTTTGGACAAGAACAATGCAGTCATCTGCATGTATACAAAGATATTTATTTAATATGAATCTGAAAAACAAAAAGCAATTCCTGAATGTCCAAAGAAAACATTTCCATTGCTTTGTCTTTTTAAACATCCATCTGCTTTATTTCTCATTTTCTTTCTTAATATCTACTCTCATTTGTTGTTTTCATACTGAGTTTTATAGAAAGTTTTGCTTTTAAAGTTTTTCATGAGTCAAAGTTGCAGAAAATGCAGCTTCACTCATTAAATTGGTCTAAAAGAAAAGATATCTGCCTCTGTATGAACCACAAACAAGCAGAAACGCACAACGCCTTTAAAACTTTACATGACACCAATCAGGAACAGAATCAATTTGGAGAAGTGCAACAATTAATCATCTGCATAAACACAAATATCTTCCTCTTTGCTCCTCATGATGATCCAATTTCTATCCAGTCATCTTTAATGTCTGATCACTAAAGATCAGGAAAGTAAGAAAGCAGAAAAACTTGAAAAACAAACATTTCTGAGCTTTTGTCATTTTTCCTTTTAGTTCCCAAATGCCTGAAGGTTATCTCAAAGGACGAAAGGATGACGAAAGAACGGCAAACTGATGGCGAAGACGTCAGAGACGAGAACAGAGGTAGGAAAGGTGAAAACAGCACAAAGCAAACACGAATCTGAAGGAAGAAAAAACGACTTTTATGTCTACAGGAAATCTTTCCTCTGCTTTGGTTTGACTCCCTGCAAAAAGAAAACTGTCTGCTTTTAATCCACAATGTTATGCACAAACACATCAAAACACACACACACACACACACACACACACACACACACACACACACACACACACACACACACACACACACACACACACACACACACACACGCAGGGAGAGAGCAAACATCAGCTCAGAAAACACCATGAACTCTGGATTCAAACGCCAGCCTGAGGCTTGCAGATGAACACAACAAACATGCCAAACGCTGAGATGCAACTCAGTGAAATGAAGTTCAGCAGCAGCCATGAAAACACAAAACACAATCCAGATAAAAGCTCCACACAAAGGCAACAAGCTAATCTTCTAATCCCACAAATCTTCTCTGGGCATTTCCTCCCATATCTCCATAAATGTGACAACTGCAAAACGTCCAGAGTAAAAGTAAGAGCAGAAATACTTCCACATGTTTTCACTCAAAAACAACCAGGAGCCGCCCAGTAAAAGTATTTGGTCAAATGATTGATCAGATTATCAATCATTTCAGACAGAGCCAAAGATAACGGTAAGTGGAAATTTTATTTTTTAAGGACCAAGATAACAAAATAAATCTTCTACAATTAGATTATTTCAATAAACTTCTGAAACTTTTGCAAAAACTGCAGCTGTGTTTCTGATGAAAACATGTTTGTTTTTTATTCAGTGGGCAAAAAATCCAGAAATTTCACTCAAGTAAGAGCAGAAATACTTCATAATAACATTACTCAAAAATAAAATACTCCTAAAAAACTTACTTAAGCAAATGTAATTAAATAAATGTATCTATTTACTACCCAATTCTGCCTTTTGCAACAGGAAAGTGCTTTTCCGTCTTTAACAGAAAATGAGTTCACTTTTTAGATTAACAACTGGACCAATTGAATTATTTTGTATTCATTTTCTCCAAAAAGCCCCCCATAAAAAAACCCAGATTTAAACAACTGAGTGGAGTTTTTACAGTGAAAACAAACCCACATGCTGCGCTGAGGGGAATCACAGAGACAACTAATAAACTTAATGCTGAACTTTCTGTCGTTCTGCTGAGGCTCTCGCAATGAGCTCAGCAGTTTTACAGCTTTACAGGAACACTCTCGGGTTTTCAGAAACAGGTTTTCCTCCATCGATATGCTGCTGGTGACTGATGGCTGGAAGAACGGAGACAGTAAGGTCAAACAAAAAGAGCTGCAGCCAATAAAGTCTTAATCATCAACAAAAGAGTTTTGTTTCAACCAAACTCTTCCACGCCAAACAGAAACAAACAAAGATCCATTACATAATCACATTACAGAAATTTAGACTTTTTATGATTTTTTGATTTTGCAAACATTTCTGCTTCCAGTGTTTAAACTCAGTGACTTTTCTGACCGATTTAGCAACATTTTAGACAAAAACGTAAAACAATCAGAATCGGGATTTTAAAGATTGATATTGGGCCAGAAAACTGCAACCAGTGCATCCCTGATAATCAATCAATCAATCCCTAACAATCACATCCTGACACTGATCAAAATGAGTCGGTTTTTGTGTTTTTGAAAACGATTCTGCTGCCAAATCCGGTGAATACAGAGAAACTTCTGAAATAATTTCCTGCTTCCTGAACAAATGCAAACAATTTTACACAAGTTGAGCAAATAAAAGACGAACTAGAAAGAGAAGAACAAAAAGACTGGTTCTGGTTCTGGTTCTGATCTGATTCTGATTCTGATCTGGTTCTGGTTCTGATCTGATTCTGATTCTGATCTGGTTCTGGTTCTGATCTGGTTCTGATCTGGTTCTTCCACCCAGCAAACACACTGACTCTGACAGAAACTCGTCAGAAACGTGTCACCTTCTCTCGCTGAAACAGAAACAACCTGTGATTTCCCCGTCGGTCCCTCAGACCTGAAGATCATCATCCGTCCCATCAAACCATCAGCCGCCATGACACTTTCCTCAGCCGCCATGACACTTTCCTCAGCCGCCATGACACTTTCCTCAGCCGCCATGACACTTTCCTCAGCCGCCATGACACTTTCCTCAGCCGCCATGACACTTTCTGAAGCGATTTCTAAAGTTGATGATGTTGCCGGATGTGCAGCTTAAAGGAGCGAGGAGTTTGCTGCACCGTAATGCATCACAGCGTTAAAAAAATAAATTCTGTTTAGATTCTAGAGCAAATATCTTACTGCACTTAAAATAAGACAAAACTAACTTTCCAACAAGATATATTGGCTTGTTTTACGTAAATATTGATGGAAAATCTGATTATTTCACTTACAACATGGGAAAATTAAATAATCTCCTTTTTTCTCGACATTAAGGAATAATTTACTTAAAAGAAGCTCTTATGCTTACTGAAAAGTTACTTAAAAGTTAGTTTTATCTTATCTGAAGTGTAATAAGATAATTTTTCTAGAAATTAAAAAATGACTTGGTAACATTTTGTTTTTGCAGTGATTCAGTTCAGTGATCAGAGATAAAAATCTAGAATCATTTAGATTCATTTTTCCTTTTATTTCCACTAAAAGGAAAATAAATAAATCACATTGTTTCATCAGAAAGCTTCCCAGATGATTTTATATAATAATAATAAAGAAAACAGAAATCAAAAATGCTATTTAAACACAAAAGTTACAGACAGTAAAAAAATGGAAAATCTCTTTTCTTCACAGGTTTTGTGACAATGTGACAACAATAATAACAAAAATAAATATTTATCACTATGTTTTCAGGTCCTGCTCTGAAAAAAGACAATTTTTTCTAAAGAAATTAGATTTTTACCACTAAACTGCACAGAGACATTTAATCATGTTTGCAGATTTACTGACAGTAAAACTAACAACAGTTTAAACATCATTAACTGGAATTTATTCTAATCATTAATGAAAAATGACGCAAAAAACATCTCAGCTGTTATTAGGGCCGGGTCTTATCACTGCGTGCGTGTGTGCGTGTGTGTGTGTGTGTGTGTGTGTGTGTGGTGTGTGTGTGTGTGTGTGTGCGTGCGTGCGTGCGTGCGTGCGTGCGTGCGTGCGTGCGTGTGGGTGTGCGTGCGTGCGTGCGTGCGTGTGTGTGTGTGTGTGTGTGTGTGTGTGTGTGTGTGTGTGTGTGTGTGTGTGTGTAGATGGAAAAGCCTCACATTCCAACGACTGCCAGCACAGTTCACCAAAATAACAATAAAAACCTTTTATTTTGGCGGCGTTATGTCACTGTGAGGCGACAGCCGCCTCCTCTGAACCCAAATGAACCCCAATGGATTTTATTTTGTCCATTACACTGCAAAAACACTAAATCTTACCACGTAGTTTTTGTTTAGTTTAGTATCTTAGTACACTTGAAATACGACAAAATTAGTTTACCAGAAACTTTTCAGCAAGATATAGAAGTAAATAATTCACTAATGTTGATAAAAAAAAGTTCTTATAACAAAGCATTTTTCCCTTGTTATTAATGAAATAATCTGGAATTACTTATTTATTTATTTCTGAAAAGTTCATTATAAGTTACTTTTCTTTCATTTCAAGTGTAATAAGATTTTTGCTCCAGAAACTCAACTAAAATTACTCTGTAAGATTTTGTGTTTTTGCAGTGTATGTAGTCAAAACTCACTAAGAATTTTTCTGAATTCAGATTAAAGTTCAAAATGTTCCATAAATATTGATTGGCAACAGTCACAGGAGAGTTTTCTGTAATAACTACAGTTTGTTTTTCATAACATACATTAAAAGTTATAAAGTCAAACAGATTTTAACTTTTATGAGCAAAAAGAAAATACAAAAACAAGAAGACGGCCGTTTCGTTTCTTTAGCATTCAGAGCAAATCATGAGGATCTGATTTGAAAAACTTGCCCTGGATTGAAAGGCCGGGTATAAATACGGGAAGTCACAGCGGTAAGCCTGGCCTCAGGTCGACAAAACTCACAAGGAGGAGAAAAATCAGAGCCCAGCAGGCAGCAGGAAGGGTTAAGAACAGGAAGAGCCGACTTACAGATGGAGAGACGGAGCTGTTGGGGAGGTAAGGGTCCGGCAGCATCAGGAACGGATACCCGGGATACGCCGGCGACTTGTACATGCCTCCATCTTGCTGCTTCGACACTGAAGGTAAAATAGAGAACAACACAAAAATTATGTTTACAGTTTCAAAAGCAACTTTTAGCTTTTTCAAAAGCTGAATCTGACGTGTGGAAACAAACACATCCAGAATGAACGTGCATGCAGAGCAGGTAAACTATTACCAAGTGGTTGCATCATGTCGCATCCTTGCACAAACGCAGACTAGATATATATGTAACAACAGCAGCAAGCCGTCACCTGCAGCCAGAGGCGTGAACTACGTTCACTTCCAGCAGCAGCCGCCTTATTAAGCGAGGGGCCTCTCTCTCTCTGGGTCACACATAACTGGGTTATTTACCTGCTCAGACTGAAACTGCAGCACAAAGCAATTAGCCACAATTGTCACTGCTAAGCTTTTCTGTCCAGATTGCACTTCTGCTAATACAGATTTCTACTGGTTTCAATTTGTTTCAAGGATCCATTTGAAACCGCAGAATCCGGTTTTGATGAAGACTTTTCCTGAGACGACCCCGATGTGACGACATTTCTGCTTTTGGTAAGGACTGAAATGAGAGAAACGGCTGAGGGAAACCTATAATTAAAGATGCCAAGTAAAACTACACACTTTCAAAATGTGCTGCACACAGGGAGGGAAGTTACTCTGTTCTTTTTGGGTGGCAGAAGCAAAAAAAACTTAATCACTCTTTTCCCAAAGTTGAGAAAAAGCTGCAATTTTCCTTCAAAATTGCCTCTAAATGCCAAAACATGAGCAGATCTCACTGTGACAGGGATAATTTCACAAATACTAGAAAGGAAGACGCACACTATGGTTAGCATTAGGTGATTTAATTAATAACAGCTTTCTTAAGATGAAACAGAGCAACTCTGCTGAAGAAGTGACAGATCGGAGCGACGGAGCTGAAGACGTTTTAAAACACAAAACATTAAATTCACTCTGTAGGAAGTCAGTTAAAGTCAGAAACCAGGCGAAACACAACAAATATCTCTTCATAGAGACACTAGTGGAGCCTGGACCGCACGATAAATGCCAGTTATTTATTAAAACAGACGTTTATTTTTCCAAATCACAGTTAATCTTTCCAAACTATTTGGGTGAAGCGCAGCCTGAGCCGCACTGATAAGATGTCCAACTTTTCCTCACAATCTCTCCTGTGTGAAACACCGAGTTTGTCTTCAGCCGTTTCATCCTGAACTGTTTGTCTGCTGGCGATGAAAGGGTTAACACAAGAAATAAAATAAAAGCTCGAATAAAACTTATAATGCACTAACGCTTACAAATACAAGGATGGACTAAAGAAAGCTTAGAAAGATAAATTATTACAAGTTTCTTATCTAAAACCCAGACGATCTGGCTTTTTACCAGATCTAATTTTGCTGATGCAGATTCACGTTTTCATTAACACCAATTATTTATTTTCATCAATGGAAAACATGAGAAAAGAGTTTTGTAAGCACAGATTATCCCCACTTACGTTTCATGAAATAAAATGGAGATTTTTAGGCACAAAAACAAGAGTTGATTACTTTTAAGTCTCATATTTACAGGATTTGATCTGAATACTGGCTAAATCTGGTTCAGGGTTGGCATTTCTTGTAGAAACTCTTTGTTTTGATGCATTTAATGGTTGAGGAAAACAAAAATCATTTTTATTGTACTTGGAGTAAAATCCTAAATTTCTCTGTCTGATGTTTTGGTGCTATTGGAGCTCAAAACTGTTCTGCATGGGACAAAACTGGGTGAATTATCCATTTCTACATATTTTCTCTTCATAAAGCAGCAGGACGTTCCATGAACTGCCCGGTTTGGTTCTGGTGTTTTAATCGGTTAATTCTGGGCTTAAAGCTGCTCGTCTTGAGGTGTGAGGCGGATTTCTGAGCTCTGGGTGAAAAGATGAGCGCAGTCCTGCTAACAGGTGATGATCAGAGAAGCTTTGAAGTTGGAGTTAAAGCTGCAGCGCATCCCGGGACCAAAAACACTTTGTTCGCTCGTCCTGCGCAGGCGGAGCGGCGCGTTGATGAGGGTTTGCAGGTTCCTCTTACCTCCGTCCAGGTGCTCTCGGTGTTTGTCCTGGAAGCCCCTCTGCTCGGCCTGCTGTCCCCGTCTGACCGCCTGGAACAACAACACCGGCTCAGGTCAGGCGGAAAACACTTTTTATCCACTTTATCTCACTTTTACGGCGAGTTTTCACTCCGGGCAGCGAGGGAATCCCACCGCTTTTTACCCCCGAGGCACAAATACTCATACCTCATTCAGCGCGTAAAATGGAACAAGTTTACACTCACACACTCACACACACACACACACACACACACACACACACACACACACACACACACACACACACACACACACACTCACACACTCACACTGGGCCACCTACCGCCGAGGTCGGACTTTGATTTATTTCCGACTCGTTCACCAGGGAGGACTTGAGGTCGGCCAGGTCTCGCTCCGTGAAGGCGTTCTCCTGGATTTTCTCCTCCTGCTCTCCTTCGTCTTTGAATGCTATCATCTCATCATTGGCTCCCAGGTCGTCTCCTCCGCCGCTGCTGAGCTGAGGCATGACTACTTCCCTCACCTTGGACTTTCTGCTCCCACCTCCTCTTGTAAAGTGTGCTTCAAAAATGTAAAAAGTCTGAATAAAGAAGTGACTTTCTCAGTTAAATGGTGTCCTCCAGTGCGGAGCGCCTCCAGAAGAAAGTAGGGAAATGTTCGCCCCACCACATGCAGAGGAAAAGTTGAGCTGTGGCGTCGTTCCCGGCCGGCGGCTTGGTGGAAGACCAACGTTTCACTACAGCAGCAAACAGCTCATTTGAGCCCAAGACAAGGCGAGGAGTCCCGGCTTCAAAGGCGCCGACCGTTTGATTGACAGGTCCGATGACTTGTTGGGGGGTTGTACGATTGTTTCTGCAGGGGCTGAGCCTCTTAAAGAGACAGCGCCTCCCTCTGCGCCGCGCATTATTCATGACGCACAGGGCCGGATGCGCCATATTCACGGCCCGCTCAGAAAAAGGGTTTCTGCAATACGTCGCAATAAATATGTAATATTCAGGATGTTTCCTCCAAAATAAGGAAATAGATGAACATATTAGACCAACAAGTGAAAAAACAATGTAGAAAAAACACCATGACAGCGAAACTAGAGATTAAAATATAAAATATCAATATAGACACAAAAGATAACGCACATTATATACACACTGTTTATTTAAATATAATATTATATTATAATATTTATATAATGTATAAACAGTATAAATAATTATGATAAAATATAATAAATATATTTAAATGAATAATACATATAGATATGTAAATATAAACAAAAATATATGTAATTTATAAATTATGTATATGTATGATTTTTATAGATTTTTTTTAACTAAACCTGGTCAATTTTGACTAATTTTAATTTAAAGATTAAAATAGTAATATTCAAATTCAACAAATTTCATTTGTTAAATTTTTGTTCTAAAATATCTCATTTAATATAATTTTTTGTTGAGGGTTGATAATGTAAAAAAAGAGATTTCTTTGCACTTAAAGAGGAAAATGTCAAGTTTTTTTTAACTCATAAATAAAACATGACGCTGAATGTTTTAGTGTTAAAATCCACATTATTGATTTGTTTTGAGTTAAAGGATTGTGAACTAAAAATAGAAAGAAATTGTGTAAAAACTAATTGCTTGAACCCATTTTTTATTATATCACCTTTCTAAATAACAGACATATTAAATATAACACAAACAGAATATAAGTAAATATATGTTTAAATTCATCAACACAAAGTTTCCATGAACTTTTCACATGACTGCTAGCAAACTGGGCAAATAAACTTTATTTATACAGAAAACATGAACAAAAAATAAATACAGAAAAATAAGTTTTACTAAATGTATCGTGCTCCATAAAATCTTTCACTTTTTATCACTTTATAACCACAAACCACCATGTTAAATTGTAATTTTATGCTAAAGTTGTTTTTAGATATGAAATTTACAGAAATGATAAATAACATTTAATTAAGAATAACAAACATTTTAGTTCCCCCTTTTGAAGTAAATTTTAACTTTTTATTTCTGTTCTTGTTTTAAAATAGTCAGGATTGTAACTGTGTTTTTCAATTTTGGATAATTGATCAAAACTTGGGATTTTTTTATACTTCTCTGAGAATCGACTGAAAACATTTAAACTTAATGCAGATTTGGTTGCAAACTTTCAATTTAAAGGGACGGTACCATGTAAAACGTGTGTGTATATATATTATCTTCAGCTAATACACACACACACACACACACACACACACACACACACACACACACACACACACACACACATATATATATGTAAAATCATGCTCCCTCATCAAAAACACACCTGGACTGCTTCTTTGATTCCTTCATGTTTGAGAACTCCTTTAATCTCCATAGCTCCATAGGACCTAGCTCCTCCTCTGAGGTGTAGCTCCTCCCACACTCCGCTCCTTCAGACTAGCCAGCATCAGTTCGCAAACACCTGGTGAAACTGCTGTACTCGTTATCGGAGCTTCTTCTGAAAAATGTTGTTAAACGGTAAATAGAGGAGCCATGTTGTGATGACTTGCTGAAGGCGGAGCTTCAGAAAGAGCACAAGGGTTTAAAGAGACAGATGCATTAAATCAGAAAGTACAATTTCTGTGAGGTCATAGTTGATATATGTAACATTTTCATAACAATTGAAGATAACAGTTGTAAATACATGCTGCTGCCCCTTTAAATGTTCTGAGTCTTGGGTCAGAGATGCAACAAAAACTAAAAGCCTGAAGTCAAACTTAGCAGAGCTGAAGGCTGCAGAGCTGCCCAAGTTCAGCTGCATTTGGTTAAAAGCTTCTGGTGTTCTGAATGCCTGAGAGTATATCGTTTCTAGTTTTTATTGTTTATTATGGTCTGCAGCAAAACGAATAGCAAATCTGCACACCAAACTTATTTTATTTGAAAAATGATGAATTCTGACGTCCTCTTCCTTCTACATTAAACTATGCATTGGTTTGTGGCCAGTTAAAGTGGACTTTTGTCCTCCTTTAATGATTTTACCATTAATCTGTTAATATGTGTCGTAATTATGAGACAACAGTTTGAACTTAATAAAAACTTTCATGTTACACTGCACAAACAAAATCTTACCTAGTTATTCCAGAGGAAATATTTTAGACAAAAGTAACTTACAAGTAACGTTTCATTAAGACATAAGGGCTTGCTTTAAGTTAATATAATTAAAAAGAAAATAATCTGACAGTTAAAATGTTATTTCACTTATAGCTAGTTCTTTTTCACAAGCTCCTATTGAAAGGGTAGTCGTCAGTTAGTTTTGTCTCATTTCAAAAGTCCTAAGATATTTGCACTAGAAATTAAACCAAGATTTTGTGGTTTTGCAACAAAAAATGAAGTTTTAAAACCGAGAAAACTTCTTTGAACCTTTCATTCAATGCAGATGTGGTGACACCACTCCCCTGTCTTCAGCTTGGTTGTAAAAATGAAATTATCTCTTGTTCAGAATGATATCGAATGTTTCAGTGTATTTCCATCAGGTCACAGCGGCTGTTTTTTACAGTTCAGACCCTTTTTCAGTGACTTTCCAGCAGTCGCCTGTCACACCACTCACATTTTGGAACAAAACTCCTCATTTGCATCAACAGTGAAGTGGCAGCTCACGCAAGAAGCAGCAAAATGTAGGACATTCTGTGAAAAAACATCAGAAGGCATGAATAACAGAGGCACAGCATGTTTTGGCTGGTCCTTACATCCCCCAGATTTTGTAACAGCCTCCAAAACAGCTAAAAAGTGCTAGACGTTGCAAGTGCTTGATTGGAGGAGGGAAAGATGGAAAAGAAAACACAGTTCAAAGATGTAGACTTGAAGTTCTGATGTCTTATCAAACTCGTAACTTGCCTTCCCCTGTTTTCCTCCCAACGCCGATGCATTTTTAATGCCGATACAGTAGCTGGTCTTCAGAGTTTTTAATTGAGAAATATTTATACACTCCCATGCTGTGACTTAATATTCGACTTAATCTGAGTCTGTTGCCTTGAATGAGAATGATGATCCACAGCTGGGAAACAGAATTAAATACAAACAGAAAACGGGCACGGTATTTGCATAAAACTGCATATTTATACAATATCGTTGATGCATATTAATAAAAAGATTAAAATGAGCGTTTTTAATGTATGCTAATCTAAATTATAAATGAGTTGTTTAAACTCCTTGTTTATTCGCCTTGATTAAATATAGACAGCTGTTTTTTTCCAGAACTCTGTCTCTGATCTTTAGTGAAAATCTGCACTGATAGTTGCAGACGTTCATCACGTGGCTGCGCAGGTTTACCTGAGGCGACGACGCACATCTGATGTGAAACAGAAATTCTGCTGTGAACGCACTCTCTGTTCAAGGTGTCTTATAAAGGCCCTGCACCGCAAACATTTCTGCTTTTTAATGTCTCTTTCACTCTCTCTCTTTTTTTCCTTTTCTTGTTTAGGCTTTTGTGGTTTGATCTTAGTTATAGTTTACCTTTAAATAACCCAGCTTTATCAGAGCTGTTTCTGTTCAGCACTACATGCATCCTTTCTTATCGTCTTTTATCTCTGACTCTAATGAGTGTCGTCTGTGACATCAAACGGCTCTGCCAGTGTTGACAGGAAAGGCCAAAAAAGGAAACAAGAGGAGATTGAAACGATAAGCATCCTACACAGAACACGAGAAGAAAAAACAGAAACGAGAAGACGCCTTGCTGCTGCGACCCCACAGGACGGGTTTTCACATACAGTCAGAGATACAGAGCAAGTCGTGTCTGAAAAAAACAAAGGCTGTGGTTCCTCTGGTAAAAAAACCCTGGCAATTAGCTTCATGTTTATATTTAGCTGTTCAAGTCAGACTGAGTAAAGTAACACGAAACGTAAGAGACATAAAACATGAGAATTATTTTTAAGCAGTAGCTATAAAGTGTTTCATCAGATAAATATGGAAGAAAAAAAAGTATTAAATATACTTGTAGCCCATGAGATTAAAAGCAAAAACTTAAATACAATTAAATGTTTAAAACTTGTTTACAAAAAGAAAGATACAGATATAATTACATTTTGAGATAAAATTTGTAAAATATCCTTTTACCCAGTTAAGTTTCAACAATTAGATCTCATGATAAGTGAACAAAATTATCCAGCTTTTTCTAGCTTAGCGAAGCAGCTAACGCTAACGTCAAGCTTCTTATGAGCCTGTCGTTGCTGATGAAGGACACAGCTTAGCAGCAGTTTCAGAGGAAACGTTAACATGACCCTCTCAGAATGTGAAGTTTGTATCCAGATTTAGCTAGCTTAGCCACAGCGCTAAAGCTAGAGTCCAACTTGTTAGCAATGGGAGGGTCTTAACCCTGAAGCAGCTGTTGCTAACTAAGGTCACAGGTCAGATGTGATTGTTAGAGAAAATGCTTTTAAACATATCAGAATGTTTAAAAAGTGGTTATTCTGCTTTTACTAGCTTAGTAATGGAGCTAAAGCTAAAGTCAAACTGGCTAGCAAGGTAAGGTTCCTAACCTTGAGCGTGTCGCTGCTAATGAAGAACGAATTTTAGCGTTAGTTGTCACAGAAAACGTTACCATGATGAAGATCAGAATATTCAAAATGTTTGCATCCAGATTCAGCTAACTTAGCCACAGCTAGCAAACGTCAAACTTCGTAGCGAGCAAAATTATCCTAATTATCAGTTAAATGTAGTAATGATTAAAAAAAAAAGCTATTCTTAATTTAGTAAATTTAAAATGTTTCACTATGGCTCAAATTGATTTATGGTAAATGCCATTTTTAAATTTATTTT